GGGAATTCCGGTAGCTGCCTCTCAGTCACCAGACAAGTTAACCCGAAGACGGTAGGAGAAACGGGAGCTTGTTCTGACCCCGAGCAGTAGGGTTGTGGGACAGGAGTTGAATACAGAAATACCCTTACTCACCGCTGTCTCTCTCCTCTCCTCTCCCTGACACCCCACTTCGCTGTAGGTACAAACACCCGGGGCGCTGGAGATACCCCTCTGGAACAAGGCCGACAAGCTGCCCTTAAACACGTGGGGAGAGCATCTGTTTAGATGCATATGTACCTAGAGACAGTGAGTGTGCTGTGTATTTCTTCTTGTATGTATACCGATCCTGACTTTTCAGTATTTGTATTATGCGTGTATTATTATTTATAAATAGAGAAGCTATACCTAGTCATATGTAGCTGGCTTTATATATATATATATATTTTTTTTTTCATACACACATACATAGTGTCTATATATATTCATACACAAATATATATATACACACACACATATATAGTGCTTCAGATTTAAAAGGCACTCCCTCTTCCTATCTCCTTTCCCTTCTATTTCCCAGCCCCAGATTTTGATTAATCCTTTTGCTCACAAGCACTGGTTGGATTTGGCCTGGGTGGTTCCCGCATATCCATGCATTGCTCTAGCCTTCTACTTGTCCCAAGTTCCCTGCTCATTTGTTTGCCATCTTTCCCAAAAGCTCACCACCACCTGACCTCGTTCTTCAAGCAGTGAGCCGACCAGGAGCAGTCCCAGGAGCAGAGCAGCCATCTCCCTCCCTCAGACACACACACACTCCCACGCACAAAGAGAACTCGGGCTGGAAAGTGGCAAGGAAACAAACAGCTTCCCCTCCAGCCGCTTCTTCTGCAGCACCTCGTTTGACAAATACCCTGGCGCTTGCCCTTGAATTGGGTTTCACATCCCTATTTAGCACTTGGACAATGATTTTAGATTATGTCACTTGAAGCCAAACAAGAAAATTGATCTCGGATTTGCTTGGCCTCTAAAGCCTGGTTAAGCAGATTGCAAATAATAATAATAAAAAGAGAGAGAGAAAGAGAGAGAGAGAGAGAGAGAGAGAGAGAGGCAGAGCAAAGAGGCAAGAATGAGGGAGAGACACCTCCTTCCCTGGGCGGGGGAGGCGCGGGCGCCAATGAAAAGTAGCCGCTTACTGGGGGGGAAAAAACTTTTCCTGTTGACTGTTGGAAGCGAATTGAGCAATTATCTAGTTTACCTTCTCCTCTTGGAAGTTAACGATTGGCGAGATCTTGGCTGCGTTATTGACACAACACTTTCTATTGATAGAAATAAGTAGCGATTGTCCCGAGTCATTGGTGCGCCAAAGTAAACTGTGATGGGCTGGCATGAGTCCACTGGACTGAGAAGGCTGGTTCCGCCGGCGGAGACTGTGGTGATGGTGGCGACGGCGATGCTGGTCTCCTTCCTTGCAGATCAGTAACAAGAAAAGAGGCAGAGAGAGTGAAAGAGAGAGAGGGGAGAGGAGGAAGGAAAGGGGAAAAAAAAAAAAAAAAAAAGGGAAAAAAAAAAAAAAAAGAGGCGTCTACCAAAGCAGCTCAAACCGGGCGAACAAACGCAATTCAGCCATGGACAATAGTGGCCACCACACGGCGACCAAAATCCTAGCGACTCCTCCGGCCAGAGAAAGCCTGTCTGCCAGGAGCAACATGATCAGCACGCCCAAGCCCCTCGCCTTCTCCATTGAGCGCATCATGGCGCGGACGCCAGAGCCCCGCTCCATCCCCGTCCCGCAGCTCCTCCACGGCTCCGTGGCCAAAGGCGAGCCCAAGCCCCCGCTGCACCTCAACTCCTCCATCCCCTGCATGATCCCCTTTGTCCCGGTGGCATACGACCCCCTGCCCAAAGCGGCGATGGCCGGAGCGGAATCCAGGAAGGCTCATTTAGACTCCTCTTCCTCGCCCTCCTTTAGCTGCGGCGATCTCTTGAACTGTGCCCTGAGCTTGAAAGGAGATTTCCCCCGCGATGCCCTGCCCTTGCAGCAGTACAAACTGGTAAGACCCCGAGTGGTCAATCACTCCTCCTTCCACGCCATGGGAGCCCTGTGCTATTTCAACCGAGGCGACAGCCCTTGTCATCCGTCCTCCAGTGTCAACATCCACCCGGTGGCTTCTTATTTCCTCAGCTCTCCCCTGCACCCGCAGCCCAAAGCTTACCTGGCGGAGAAGAGGGGGAGAGAAAAAAAAAAAAAGAAAAAAAAAAAAAAAAAAAGGAAAAAAAAAAAAAAAAAGAGGCGTCTACCAAAGCAGCTCAAACCGGGCGAACAAACGCAATTCAGCCATGGACAATAGTGGCCACCACACGGCGACCAAAATCCTAGCGACTCCTCCGGCCAGAGAAAGCCTGTCTGCCAGGAGCAACATGATCAGCACGCCCAAGCCCCTCGCCTTCTCCATTGAGCGCATCATGGCGCGGACGCCAGAGCCCCGCTCCATCCCCGTCCCGCAGCTCCTCCACGGCTCCGTGGCCAAAGGCGAGCCCAAGCCCCCGCTGCACCTCAACTCCTCCATCCCCTGCATGATCCCCTTTGTCCCGGTGGCATACGACCCCCTGCCCAAAGCGGCGATGGCCGGAGCGGAATCCAGGAAGGCTCATTTAGACTCCTCTTCCTCGCCCTCCTTTAGCTGCGGCGATCTCTTGAACTGTGCCCTGAGCTTGAAAGGAGATTTCCCCCGCGATGCCCTGCCCTTGCAGCAGTACAAACTGGTAAGACCCCGAGTGGTCAATCACTCCTCCTTCCACGCCATGGGAGCCCTGTGCTATTTCAACCGAGGCGACAGCCCTTGTCATCCGTCCTCCAGTGTCAACATCCACCCGGTGGCTTCTTATTTCCTCAGCTCTCCCCTGCACCCGCAGCCCAAAGCTTACCTGGCGGAGCGGAACAAGCTGGTGCTGCCGGCCGTGGACAAGTACCCGGCAGGGGTGGCCTTCAAGGACTTGTCGCAGGCTCAGCTGCAGCACTACATGAAAGAAAGTGCTCAGATTCTCTCGGAAAAAATCGCCTACAAGACCTCGGAGTTCAGTCGCGGCTCCCCGAGCAGCAAGCCCAAAGTTTTCACGTGTGAAGTTTGCGGAAAGGCAAGTAGAGCCGCAGCCCGCCTCCCTTCCCCCTGCCTCCCCAGCCTCGTACCCTCGTCCGTCGGGTTGTTGGTCGCTTGCTTGCTTTCTTTTTAAACGACGGCTTCCCCTCGGCGCTCTCGCCTTCTAATAGCAGGGTTTTTTTGTTTGTTTGATTTCACTCTTAAGGTATTTAATGCACATTATAACTTAACTCGCCATATGCCGGTGCACACAGGAGCCAGACCCTTTGTTTGCAAAGTTTGCGGGAAGGGCTTCAGACAGGCGAGCACGCTCTGCCGGCACAAGATCATCCACACCCAGGTGAGCCTCCGTCCTTCCCTCCTTCCTTCCTTACCCGAGACCCCTTCGGTCACGCTTATTTTTGGGGGAGTCCGGCGTTGTCCGGCCGCTCCGAGGTTGAGGGGCTGCTGCGCCCGAGCCGATGGGGGATTTCGTTTGGCCCCAGCGCGGTGGGTAGGGAGGGGTGTCCCGCGCTGCGAGCTCCGAGCCGGCAGCTAACACATAGACCCTGCAAACCAGCACACAGACCCTGCACACCAACCAAGCCGTGACTTGGGGTTTGTTTCCCTCCAGGAGAAGCCACACAAGTGCAACCAGTGCGGCAAAGCCTTTAACCGGAGCTCGACACTCAACACACACACACGAATACACGCTGGCTACAAACCTTTTGTCTGCGAATTTTGTGGCAAAGGATTTCACCAGAAAGGTACCGGTCTCCAGCGCTCTCTCCCTTTCCCGGGACCCCCCCAGGCGAGGTCAAGCGTCGCGACAGTTTGCGACGGGCAGGGGGAAGTTGATTTCGGTTTTAATTTATTTTACTAGAGATTTAAGTTAATTTTAAGCATCGCTAGCCCCCACACATTTCCTGTGGCACAGCAAAAGGAGCAGGGCAGGGCTGGCGTTTTGGGGGGAGCTCAGGGCAGCGCCCCGTTTCCTCGCACTGTTGCCGAAGCTCAGCAAACGAGTTCGCGTCTTTTTTTTTCCCCTCCGAGTGCGGGAGTTTGGTTAATTTTTCTCCTCGTGTTGCTGAGAAGTCTAAAGCCATTGCTTTTATTTCTGCAGCTGAGGTGATTTTGTTGGGTTTTTTTCGATAATGCTCTTCTCTGTCGAAGAAGCGGCCGCGGGGAGGATGGGGGAAGGCGGGTGTTTGCCAAGGGATTGCCGGTCATTTTAGGCTAAAGCCGAGCTCTGGGAAGGGACAAGTTTTGGGGCTCTTTTTTTTGGTTGTTGGTTTGTTAGGTTTTTTTTTTCCTTCTCTTCGCATCGTCCAGTTCTCAGCCCGCGGTACCTCTGCCCTTCTTGTCTCATTCCCAGGCAATTACAAAAACCATAAGCTGACTCACAGCGGGGAGAAGCAGTTCAAGTGCAATATCTGCAACAAGGCTTTCCACCAGGTGTACAACCTGACCTTCCACATGCACACCCACAACGACAAGAAGCCCTTCACCTGCCCCACCTGCGGCAAAGGCTTCTGCAGGAACTTTGACCTCAAGAAGCACGTCCGCAAGCTGCACGACAGCGCCCTGGGACTGCCCCG